ATATATAAACCCAAGCTGAATATATAAACCAAAACTCAGTTCATCCTCAGAGAAGAAACCAAGTTTATACATACCTATTTCTAAAGAACCATCAAGAGTTCCAATAGAATAAAAATCAAGAGTATTACAAATAGTAATACTAGTGACTCATTCTATACTACCTTGATTATTCAAGACTAGATCCAAGTAAGTTATATACTTCCCTTCTGGATCCTCTACTTTCCCTAAGTAGTTTCTATACTAGGTTGGTGACCTCCAAGATAATAACCAAACAGGTTGGTGACCTCTAAGAGATAACCAAGATAGTGATCTACATAATCACTCTTTATCCAATTACCAAGAAGGATATTGGAGAACATTGGGATCCTGTTCTCATCCCTTACTTAATTGTAAATCAAATCTCTTCTTTAAGAGTCAACTAACTGTAGTCTGCCAGGATTTGTCCTAGCAGACTCTTAGTTGTTTAACCCTCTACTACTCCTCTCCTACTCATATCATCTCTCTCTCTCCTCTTCCTCTACCCTTGTAACTAGTTATAATCTGAAATATAATAATATTTATTATACTTCACCACATACCTAGTCCCAATACTACCATTTAGTGAGTGTAGCCTCCTTTTAAAGAGCCACTACCCTCACAAGGAACTACTGGCTGTCATCTCGGCATTCAAGGAATGGAGGCAATATCTTGAAGGTAATCCAAACAGATTAAATGTAATAGTTTACACTGATCATAAGAACCTCAAGTCCTTAATGACTACCAAGGAGTTAACAAGACGTCAAGCTCGTTGGGCAGAGATACTAGGAAGATTTGACTTTGAGATGCGATTCCGACCAGGCAAGCAGTCAACTAAACCGGATGCTCTGTCAAGAAGACCAGACCTGATGCCATCAAACTCAGAAAAATTATCATTTGGACAGCTTCTCAAACCCCACAACTTACTGAGTTATGTGTTAATTGATGAGCTTGATTTCATAGAGAATTGGTTTTTAGAGGGCAAAACTGGAACTAATATCGAAATACTTGATGCTGAAGTAAACAACAATGTCTTAAATGATACTGAAATATTGAATGAAGTCAAGCGCAAAATGAAAAACAACTCAAGAATAATCGAACTCATGAAATTATGTGAACAATCATCATTCTCAAAAATAACTAATGACTACAAGGTAATCAATGATATATTGTACTTTAAAGGGAAAATCATAGTTCCAAACGACCCCAAAATGAAGGTCCAGATTTTACGCTCTTGCCATGACAGCCAATTGGAGGGACACCCAGGCAGAATGAGAACACCGGCTCTATTGAAACACGGATACCACTGGCTGTCGATGAAAGCTTTCACTAATCAGTATGTTGGTGGTTGCCAATCCTGCCAACGTGTCAAATCAAGAACAATGAAAACACTTGGAAGCCTCAAACCTCTTCCTATCCCAAGCGGCCCATGGCTAGAAGTGTGCTATGATCTCATAACAGACTTACTGGAATCTGAAGGACACGACAGCATATTAACAGTGGTACACCAGCTAACAAAAATGGCTCATTTCATACCATGCAGGAAAACAATGAATTCCGACAAACTAGCTGATTGTATGATTAAGAATGTTTGGAGACTTCATGGAACACCTCAACCTATTACATCAGATAGAGGTAACATTTTCATTTCAAAGGTCACAAAAGATATTAACAAAAGACTGGGTATAACTACACAGTCTTCGACTGCATATCATCCTCAAACGGATGGTCAATCAGAAATAACAAATAAAGTCGTCAAACAGTACATAAGGCACTTCACATCATACAAGCAAGACAATTGGAGTTCCTTATTACCGATGGCAGAATTCTTGTACAACAATGATGATCATGTTTCAATAGGTATGTCGCCATTCAAGGCCAATTACAGTTACAATGTCAGCTTTACAGACATACCTTCAGGAGACCAATGTCTACCATCTGTGGAAGTGCAAATGAGTAAAATCAATGACATTCAAAAAGAATTAAAAGATTTGATGCAGCTAGCGCAAGACACAATGACTGAACGACACAACAAGAAAGGATCTCAAACACTGGAATGGAACACTGGAACAAAAGTATGGTTGAATAGCAAAAATATTTCAACCACGAGACCTACTGCTAAGTTTTCACATTGCTGGTTGGGACATATTTCAATTCTGAGTCGTGTATCCACTAATGCGTACAAATGAGATCTCCCAAAGTCAATGGAAATGATCCATCCTGTATTCCACGTCAACTGGTTGAGGAAATTTGATGCAAGCAAAATTGAAAGCCAACATCAAGAACCACCACTACCAGTCATCATCCAAGATAATGAAGAATTCGAAATATCAGAGATTTTAGACAAAAGAATTCACAAAGGTAAAATTCAATATCTAACACTGTAAACATCATTCAACTTCCCCAATTTGGCAGAGGAAAATGATTAATAGTACAGTTTTTCATAAAAGAATCTAATACTGCACACCTGGGCCATTTCACCCACACTACATATGTGCAGCAAGCTAAGTCAATAGTTGTCTATCATGTACATACAGGTCTGCTCAGTTTTTTGCCCATCAGAATAAATAAATCACATGTTATACCACATGTAACTTTTTCGACTTTGAAATTTTTTTCCCAAAAATTCACTACATATAATTCTGTAGCTGCTCAGGCAATATTGTTGAAGCTATGTCTTAGTAACAGAAAGTGTGTTACATGCAGTTGAGTTGATGAGATCACACCAAAACATTGAGTCAGTGTATGTAGTCAATCTTTTGGAAGCTTTTTTCAATCTGAAAGAAGTTACAGCATGTATTACATATGAATAACTTGTCCTGATGAGCAGATAACTGAGCAGAACTGTATGTACATGATAACCACATATTCACTGAGCCTGCTACACATATGTAGTGTGGGTGTTATGGCTCAGGTGTGGAGTGATAGACCATTTTATGACAAATCATACTCCCAATCATTTTTCCCTGCCCACTTGGGGAACCCGAATAATGTCTGCAGTGTAATCAGCTGGAAATGTTATGACCCAAGTCACGATTCATGGGAACCAGAAACTGCAATGGGTAACACACAAGATTTAATTAGGGAGTTTAACAAGAAATATCCTCAAGCAGAACGGCAATACCGCAGGGTACGGAGAAAGACGTGAGGGTGAAGCTTTTCCCACTGGGTTTTTAATGCTAACCCGTGGAAAGATGCTGGCCTGTCAAAAGGAGGTCGCGTCATAAAAGGGGGAGTGGTGTTATGAGCCATATGTTTATACATAGGCTATATGCTTGTACTGAGATCTATGCGTACTTGGAGTTCTGCCAAGCAGACTTTTTACTGCTCTCCACGTTGCAATCTATTACCTACTAGAAGACACCTTTCATCTCTCTCTTGCACCTCTCTCAAGCATCAAGGCCTTAACACATCACTTATACTGTACATGTAAGCTGCTATGACAAGGGAAAGCCTGCATCTCATTTCAGGCAAGATTCTCTTACACAACACACCATTTACACACACCAAGATACTAACCTCACTTGCACTACACAACTTAATCATCAGTAGACTCGGTGTAAAGGTACCGGCACCACAGTACAAGTGACCCGCTCAGCCAAATTATCATAGTCAAAGTTGCACCTCAATCGTATCACCACGTCTCGACAGACATCTCACCTTTCACCGACTAAAACATGCCACAACCCAAGAAGCAACTATGCTCAAATCATTTTAAAGATTCTGACAAACCTCCACAGCGCCGAATCAAAAAACATGATGCAGAGGCTGAACAACAATTTCAAAATGAAGTCAAACAAGGAGCTCAATTCCTGAATGGCATCCTTCCCAAAGATCAAAATGAACGCATCCCCCCACCCCCACCTAATCCAAACAATGAAAACAACAAACCTCATGACAATCTATATGACCAGTATATGCCAATCATCTTTCCTCCCATCGAAGAAGAGCAACAGGAAGTCAATGCTCCAGGTGGAGTTGAAGTTGATGATCTCATTGCAAGATTTGTCGACCAACAATGTGAATATAGGTATGCGCAAGCCCGAGAAGAACTTTGGCAGCACTGGGAAGGCCTCAAAAACTAACTTACCACGGCTTACCTTCAGTGTCAGACCAGGACTTCAAACTGAATTATCAAAACCTCCTACCTTAAGGATGTCAGTGATGTTTGTCAATGTACGGCGGGTCAGTTTTATTCTCAAAAGCTGGACCTCATCAATGCAGTTGGTAGGTGTTTAATACTTCAAACTATGATAATTGAACTTATCTTTCGTCAACACACACTGACTCAGACTTCATCCCAACTAGACAAGTTCACAGCAAAGCCTGTGTGATTCTGTCGTTGCCTTCCGGAAGCAGTTCAACTCGTGTATAAGGGATATATCCCAGCTTCACCACAAACACCTCGGACTGTGTTCTTGATCACCTTAATACAGATGTACCATTTTATCTGGCAAACCTCTGTTGCAGTTGCTTCAAGTTTCTTCAAGGGCATGATGAATTTCCACGACAGCCGAGTCCGCAAACCACTCAACTCCCAAAACCAAACTCCTCAGGTCAATCTACGGGACTTAACTCAGCCTTTCTCAAGTGCAACCCACCTTTACAGTCGCATCTTGGTACTCAGCAAATGCATACTTCACCACGGACTTCAACTCACTCATAAGGATATATGGGCTGCTCAGTGTGGCCAGTGTTTCGGCCCTGCAAAAAACAAAATCAAGGAGTCAGAAGCCAAGGCAGACATCATTGTATGTATGGACGGGAATTATCAACACCGACATAACAAGCTTGCAAGTAAGGATCAACCAAAGGAATCACAATACCCCGACATCTTTGTACGGCCCTTGCAAATAGCCAAGCATGATGTTAATGCTGACCCTCCTTGGTGTGGAACTAACAATGACAACAATGATGATGTAAGTTTTGATTACGTTTCACTGTTTCATATTTGTAAAATCTTTCTTATTCAAGTTGATATTCAACACAGGATCCATGTGGTGAATCACACAAAACCGCAAACAATACCAGAAATGCCTCCATGTGGGACCAATGCGATGATACAGGCTTATTTGCCTTGGCCTGTCAACATGATGTGCCATTATTGCTGGCTAATATTTACCAAAGTGGGGAGAAGTAAGTAAAATTTTACATTTCAATCCCATCAATTTCCAGACGTTGAATGAATCACATTACCACAGGCTGTACTATCCCTTAGCACTCATCCAGTTGCTACTGGATGACTTTCCTGATCTGCGCGTGGCCGTCTTGTACAACATTGGTTGCCAGCTCGACAAACACATCACCAGGGTACGCATAGCAAGGTTTTTCCTTCTCTGTATTACTTATGGATGCTGATTATGTTCATTTCTTACAGCACAACAAGCTTCCCGAGTATCAATGTTGCATAGTACTAGGGACATCAGTATTCCACGCATACGTGCACTCTTGGGGTCGTCAGCTAAAGTACAACCCACGATTTCTACAATATTGGGGTCTCTCTGACGGCAAAGGACTTGAGCGGCTGTGGTCAGACCTGACACCACTGATTTCTTGATCACAGACATCTACCCGCCTGCATCAACTACAAGCTATTGCCTCAAGGTGCAAATATCTGACTGGTTGAAATCAAATGCAAACCACCAAATGGCTGCACTGTGGATTGGAAAAGACTTTATCGACCATCAAAGAAGCACAGGTAACTCTGGATATATGGTTAAAATCACCAAATCCCCTGAACCAGGCCAAATGTATACAACAGCTTTTTTCAGGCTCAGTGGGAGTTGGAAAGACATCATAACCTCACCTCTGCAATAGACGTCAAAATTTGCCAAAAGCTTGAGCTTGGAAGGCTGCTATGTCTTGAAGATCACATGTATTGTGTCTGGTAAGATGTATATTATATCTCAAATAAATAATTCTATTGACATTATATTTTGACATTGTATTTAAAATTAGGGATGAAGATACTCTACTCGAACTAAGGGTGTTTGATTGTCTAGACCGATTTCAGGACTTGGTCACTCAGATCGCTGAGCAGCGTAGGAAGGTGGGTAACGTGGATATAGTGAATCTTCCACGTTAGTGTTTGTTTCTTCAAGGCAATCAAACATGATCAATCAGTTGACATCAAATTAAATACCATAGCCGCGGCTGTGGATTCTTTCCTGAAGGTTTGGTTTGCCAAAACCAAGGTTTGTAGACGTTTCCTGGCTTTGAGGGTGGAACAGTGGCCATTGGATCCTGAAAATAAAGTTGGTGGTAGTTCAAGGCTTGGTTAGTATCAATGCGCTTTGAAAATACTTGCTGTGAACTTGCTGATATTCTTCAAATTACCAGGGACACACGAGAAAGAGAGGATCATGGGAGCTATCGCCAGACGAACACGCACTATGAAAAAGACGCTCAATAACTATAAAGACCTTGCTTGTGCCTTTGCAGGACAGAACCCCGACCAGCCTGCTTCGCCCGAGGTTGAATATGTCAATCCAATTAGTATGGAGCCCGACGATCCCTTCTGGAGCAACGGACTCTTCACACACTCAACTGAACCTTGGGCTGTGGATTGTGGTACTCAGTTAGGATGCCGTATGATATACAGGTACCCGGTACTAAATTGTGACCCAATGTCTGTTTGTCAAGTACTCGTGGCGCGATCACCTTCACTGCAGCAGTGACGTAGTTTCGAAATAACCACTTTGGTCCTTGAATCTCCAAAGAAGTGAGTTTGACAAATTTCATAAAACTTCATCATGCATAAAACTGAACTGATTGGCGATTGAGATTCATTGAAAATAAAATCAGACTCACCTATGCTAAAACCCACCTCATCCCCATGATGTTTTGAGCGGGTGAGAGTCAGAGCAGACAAGCTAAAGAAAGTAAATATTCTATATACTCTACAATTTTGTCAATGAACTTAAGCTTAAATATGGCTTTACACCTTTCCTCAGCTGACCATCCCCATTGTATCACTTCTTTTCACTTAAACAAATGTCTTCAAAACCCTTTTCAATACGATAGTATGTTGGCTTAAAATCTAGATTATATGATGAACTGATCATCAAGTTTGATGTTGAACACAGACAAAGATAACATTGATACCTAAACTATTTGAATCTTTTACATTTGATTTGTATTTTACCGATCTGGGATAATACATTCAGCCTAAACGAGACAAGAGATAATTAATCAGACGCAAAATAAAATATACCAATCAATACAATTAAAACAACATCACATAAAACGCAATTCAAGTGAACTGATGAAAGTCTATGATCAAAAATTCACAACGAATGTAAAAAATTATCAATACTTTTTAAACCCTTCACCGCTTTTTCTACCAAGTTTACCTTGAGAAACTAAATCGTTTAAACTTTTCAAAGGTTTTAAAAGTGCTTGGCCGATTTGTTCTTCATCGGTTTCACGCCAACCATCTAAGATATGTTTGATGGTATCGAGTCCAACATAATCTGATAATTCGAATGGTCCCATTGGATAACCTGCTCCTAATTTCATAGCTGTATCTATATCTTCAATTGTGGCTTCTCCTCTTTCATTCATTCTCATCGCTTCTAATAAATAGGGTACTAAAAGTCTATTGACAATAAATCTAAGAACACCAAATGAAGCATTAGTCTGTCTTTGGTTTCTGAAGAGTGTTTTTTTCTTGAAGTCTGTTTTGACACTTACCCTGGTGTATCTAAACAATTCACAGGTGCTTTTCCCATCCTCTTACATAGTTCCGTGAGTGAATCGATCGTGGATTGATCAGTTTGCTCAGTTCTAATGATTTCAACTAATTTCATCCTTGGAACTGGACTACAGAAATAAAAAACATCATGATGAGAAAACTCATGTTTCTTTCGAGCAAATCGGCCGTGTTTGAAAAAACGGTTAAAACTCACTTAAAGAAATGTAATCCAGCCACTCGACTTTGTCTTTCTTGACCAATCACTTTTGAAATTTCACTTAATTTGATTGAACTTGTATTAGAAGTTAAAATACAATTCGAATTCGAAACTTCTTCTAATGTTTTAAACAAAGTTTGCTTAATTTTAAGGTTTTCAATAATCGCTTCAATAATCAAATCAGTCTTTTCTAAACCTTTATCAATTTGATTTGAAGTTGAAATTTTAGAAAGGTTTTCTTCTACAAAGTCATTTTGTTTCGATTCTGAATCTGGATAAAGTTTTTTAGATGATTTATGTAATGAGCTTTGGATTGATTTCAAACCGTTTTCTAATGCTTTTGATGATGTATCTATTAAGTTAACTTTTAAACCTGATTGAATTCCAACTTGTGCTATACCACTACCCATCAAGCCTGCTCCGATGACGGTCATATGGTTGATTTTAGCTTGATTGCTTCGCATGCTTGTTGAAAATTTGGATGATTGAACGGATGATAATCTTGTTCGATTCAGTAGATTGGTTCTACAAATGAAAGTCATTTTGTATGTATGCGATGTTCAGTAGTCCTGGTGGCTGTTGATGTTATTTTGTTTTCTAGGAGTTTCAATCGTCAATCAGTTTAGTTGTATGGAGGAAGAAGTTTTATGAAACTTGTCAAACTCACTTCTTTCGAGATTCAAGGACCCAAGTGGTTATTTTGAAACTACGTCATTGCTGAGCCTGCAGTAGAGGTCATCACGCCACGAGTACTTGACAAGCGGAAATCGGGTCACAAATTAGTACCGGGTTGTACCTGTAAATCATACGGCATGCGGTGTTCTGTTTTCGGAGACAGGTTCCTTCCAATCCTGCCGACTCCCCACAAGAAGTGGACGCTCGCAAGGATCGATAGTCGTACAAGATGAACTCAGGATCTCGAGATCAATTTCAATTGCATACATTCAGGTTTTCTCAAACAGTCTTATGATCGTCAGCCTCGTTTACACCCAGTTCAGCATTCAAAAAGATGGATCGCGAGACAAGGGCCCGTCTCTCAGACCAGTAGCGTTCTCAATGTCGACTTCAAAGAGTAGCTCTCTCAATGTTCATTTAAAAGTCACCGCATACTTGAAGAAAAGTCTCGATATCAAGTAAATGAGTCCCATGGTGTCTGCTTAGATCAATGGACACGCATCCCCGTTGCCGAGAATGTAACTGATACAACCTACAGCTTGTCACTTAAACGCCGACATTTTTCAAAAACGAAAGGCATAGCTTGTTTCTAGGTGAATCTACCGAGACAATGTTCTTAGAGGCAAACCCCGGTATCAAACAAGAACTAAGCATATCAATCATGACTATGTCTCCTTGTTCCGATGGAAAAGAACTATGTAGAATGTTACTTGCAATGTCAAGGTGGACATCTTACTCGATTCTCTCCACGATTGTGCCATAGGCGGTCTTTCAAAAAAAGCAAAGATAACAATCAGTCCACATTTCGCTGTCACATTGTGGACTGTTATTGTGGTGTCCAAAGGAGATTTGTTGTCGATCGGCTTGATTTCAAATTTGCTCGTTGTGGCCGTCTATTTGACTTTGCTTTCTTTGTGCAAGAATTGCATTTGTTTTTTTACCTCTTGAGCACTGTACTCACTAGCTAGGCTATCGAAATCATAGTTGGTCTTGTCTTGGAGAGAAGTTAGAGCATCAGTTTGTGTGATATAATCAAGTTTTCTACAATGCCGAATGAGATAATTACAAATTTTCTTTGTTTCTTTCGTGCCACTAGTCTGATTCGGGTTCCGTAACGTCAGACATCTTTCAGATCTTGAGTCAGCGTGAGATGGATAGACGTGCCATTGCTTTCCATAGACCCTATACCACGAACAAATTCTCTATCATTTGATGCTCTGAGTTTGATGCGACTTGACGAATCACAAGAAATGTGAAGTTGAACAGAAAATGTCAAGACAAATAGCTCGTTAGATACTCTACGCGTTCGGAAAGCTGAACCAAGGAATGTACTGAAACTCGCCCTCAAGGGCATACAAAAGTCCTCGACGACCAGAGGCACAATCACCTAAGACCCCAAGGCAATACGCCATCGAAGGTATCAACGTTATGATCCCGAAGAGATATTTAATGATCATGGTTTTCTACAGTGGATAGTTTGTACGTCAAAGAAAGCGCTCGAGACCTACAAATACAACGAGTTAGCTCTCCCGACATGATTATTAGAACATTTCTTGAGAAGGTGTCCTCATCAGCCAGAGACAGGCTGATGATTGAATTCTGTTCAATGTGCGTTTTGTGGTTATTCACCAGACACCCGATAAGATACCTTGCCATGCTCATGAGGAAAGTTATCGAGAGATGAGGCGGCATTTTGGATTTGTGTCAGGAGAAATTTGCGGATCATGTTACCATCCTGTATAGGAGCCCTGTGTCAAGCGCTTCTGTGATCACAAATGTAACACTAAATCGTGTTTAATCAATATGATGATCCCCTGGGGGGTCAAACGCATAAATTAGCATTATTCCTGCCGTATTCATAGAGCATCAAGATGGAAACGCCTTTCATCCGTGCTCAAAAAACAAAATGCTGAAGCCATGGGGAAGGAGACATACAAAGACAATGATTCTGGCTCTTATGCTTATTAGAATATATTTTAAGAAGGTATCCTCGTCAGCCATAGACAGGCTGATGATTGAATTCTGTTAAATGTGTGTTTTGTAATTATTCAACAGACACCGGAGAAGATACCTTACCATGATTATAGAGCGAGTTGTCGAGAGATGAAGCGTCGTTTTGGACGTGTATCAGAAGAAATTCGCCGTTCACGTTTCCATCCGGTATGAGAACTTCATGTCAAGCGGGTTCTGTGATCACAAATGTAACAATAAATGGTGTTTAGTCCTTCTGATGATCCTCTGCAGAGTTCAAATTAATCAATTAGCATGATTTCTCCCAGATTCACAGACCATTAAGATAGAAATGCCTTCCATTCGCGCTCAGAAAACAAAATGCTAAAGCCATAGGGAATCTTTCATATTTATGAGCATTTCTAGATAATCCTAATTGACTTGAAACTGACCGTGACATCTCTGGGGTCCCTTTAAACATCAACTGAGTAAAATATAAACACGTCCATGATCGATAATGCTTGTATATCTCGTACATATACCGATAGTCACGCCTTTGACGCGTGTTCAGAAAAGAAACAAAATGCAAAAACCATAGTGAAGCGTTCATATATCTATTAGCATTCCTAGGATATGCAAATTGACATGAAACTGATGGTGTCACCTCCTGGGTCCCTTTCAACATTAACTGAGTAAAATAGAAGCACGGCTGTGAGCAATAATGCTTGTACATTTCGCGCATTTAACAAACGCGTGCTTCGCATTTCTGACTGTATTTTCGAGCTGATCGTCCTGTAATGAGGATCAGCAATTCCCGCGACCAAGACTTCTAAACATCGTCTAGTCACCTTCACGTTTCCCATATACCTCAACAACAACTTTACTCCCACTTTTCCAACCTAGCCACCCCTGCTCTCTATCACATAGTCTTATCTACTCAACACCATCTCCATACATCATGAGTATCGATTCTTGTGTTAGTTTTGGCGTCTATAATACCCCTCCATCAGTATCATATACCGCTTATCAAGATCTTCAAGACACGTCTTCAAACGCCGGAACTCTAGTCACTGAAAACTATGTCATTTTAAATTTACTTGGTTCGGGTGGGTTTGCTTCGGTTTACAAGGCTGAATCAAAGCAAGATCAAGATCTTTATGCTATCAAAGTCATGTTACGCGTTCACAGAACATACGGTCTTCAAGATGAAATGATTATGAATGAGATTAATTTACTTCAAGATCTTCATCATCCTTCAATCATTAGATTTTATGAACACTATCGTACAGATTCAAATTATCATCTTATTCTTGAATTAGCTACTGGTGGAGATCTTAGACAGAAAATTCCTATTTCAGAAAAAGAAGCCAAGATTTATATTATGGATTTAGCTAGAGCAATCGGATACCTTCATCAAAACAACATTATTCATCGCGATCTTAAACCTGACAACGTCCTCCTCACTTCTGATAACCGAATCAAACTGGCGGACTTTGGACTTGCTACGAGAACTCAGTCTGGATTAGCTATTGGTCACTGTGGGACTCCTTATGCACGAGCACCGGAAGTCATCAATGGAGGATCTTATACAACAGCGATTGATTGGTGGGGTTTGGGAATTATTTTATACGAAATGGTGATGGACAAACAACCTTTTATGTCAGGTATGTTATTTCTTCCTCAAACTTTTCTTCTTTACGCCTTGCAGTAGCTGACATATCCTTTGTATTCTGGCAGACACTGTCGACGGACTAAATGATCAAATTAGAAATGCGGACGTCGAGTTTTCATCATCCGTTTCTCCTCAGTTCTGTTCACTTGTTAGTTTGTTATTGAAGAAGGATCCTAGGGAGCGATTGGATTGTATAGAAAAGGTTTTGGAGCAGGAGTTCTTTAGTGATATGGTTTCTAGTTTATCGTATGGATTTTGAATGATGTTATTTGGAATGGAAAGTCTCAATTTTTGTAATCTAAGGTATGTTACTATTTCCTTTTTGTCTTTTGCTCTTGAACTTTGTATTATCTTCAAGTCAGGTCACTGACATTCCCTCTTCTTTTCCGTTCACTCATACTAGGTTCTTCAATTTTCAGGCTTGTTGGTCGGCATTTTTCACTTTTGATATTCCTGGCTCCCTGTTGTATAGAAAGGCTTTTGGAGAGGAGTTCTGTAGTGATATGGTGTCTAGTTTGTTGTATGGGTTTTGATTGATGTTATTTGGAATGGACAGTCTCTTTTTTTAATCTAAGGTATGTTGTTATTTCCTTTTTTCCTTTTGCTCTTGCACTTTATATCATCTTCAAGTCAGGTCACTGACGTTCCTGCTTCTTTTCCGTTCCCTCTTACTAGGTTCTCATATTTTTGGGCTCGTTGGTCGCGTTTTTTTCACTTTTAAGATTCTTGGCTTCGTTTATGGATAAGAATACACATATCTCCACATGCATTATACGTAACCATGTCGTGTCTATAATGTCCGTAATGTTAATATGGTTCCATGGATCTCTTGGATAATTTCAGAATGATTTCTTTAAGACACTGCGCCCTTGATGATGAGCTGGAGGTACGTGTCGAGGCCTTTTCATTCGGTTTGTAGAAAATTTTCCCAGAAGGGTATATTGCTCATGTTTAGGCTATATTTTAACTCTACACTACATAGTTCTCTAATTCAGTTGGTACTTGTGATTGACCATCAGTTTGATTCCCTTGAAGTTCTTATATGGGGACCCGTATCTTCAAGTTCTATGAGCTAAGTCTTCATTGCCGATTGAATTACTAGAGACTAAAATCTGGAGATATATTGCATTCCTAATAGCTGTGATCTAGAACCGCTTTTGAAGGTTATCAATTCACTCATAGACATCACTTGTAATAATCTCTAACAGCTACAATGGCAAATTCGCGCCAAAGTTGAGTCTTTTGAAGCCATTAACTCCTAGCAGTGTCAAAAAGATCACAAGGATCGAAATGTAACGAAATGCCGGATTCAATCGGTGTGTAATTCGGGTGAGCCACACTAAAAAATGTGGCGAGGTAGAGAATCGCGGCCCTTTCCAAATCAGAACAGGATAGAAAGTACCAAGTCAAAAGATGCTCCCTGATCATCTGCGAGAGAGCTGATTATGCACTCGTCTTAAAACCAGCTTGTAGATTATTCAAGTTGAAAGATTTCTTTGAAAGCTTTCAATGTGTTTAACGTTCAATACGATTCTGACTTCACGCGTGCAACGGATGCATTATCTATCAATTTAAGAAGCCTACACCAAAAAATTCTCCCAGAAATCCGTAATAAAGATTCAAAGGCATTACGATCGATCACACATCATTGAACAGGCAGACAAAAGGGGGTTGTGTCCTTGAGAAGGTTCTTTGACGGGGACAGTGTAATCTACATTTTCAGCCACACGCTTCACTTATCATACAACACTATCTTCGTGAGCATCGAGTATTCATGACTGCAGAGGTCAACTCATTTCTTGGTTCACGAGGTCCAAGGCCCAAGCATTGTGATGCGTCTCCCCGAATTCCGGCATGAGCCATGTCGCAGAAGTTGATATCAACTTTCCCTTCCTTCCATCTCATGACCTGTCTCTGTGCTTTTGTGAAATTGTGGCACATGCAGCCCGCTCTGTATTACATACAATCAGGATTTAATGGCGAATCACAACACGGTTCAGTTTATGAGAGGTGAATCATAAACAGCTTTATCTAGCCTTTGGTATATAGTAGTAAGAGTCTATTATTGAGACACGAACCTGTCTTATAGGGAAATGCTGATTCTGAGAAAGAGTCCATGGGTCTGTGGATCTGATAGAAATTGAGCAACAGTGTCAGTGATCGTGTTTCTTAATCCCCTAGACTACGACCTATTCTTGGCTCTTAAGCAGCTGGCCAGCTTTCTCAGCAGCTCCTCAGCAGGCGGGAGGTGTTCAGGATTGTGATGATGAATAATCGACGCCTCTAGACTTCGTGGGCGGAAGCACTCCATGGGACAGACTGGACAGACCCCTCAAATTAATTCGACTCTCATATTCCTGGTGCATGTTGAGCAATGCCGAGAGTCCATCATCTATATACAACGTCACATTATCATCCCGCCCCCCGGGATTGTGATTGCAGCGCGAAAAACAAGGGATATATGACAACATCACCATGAAAATTCGCCTTGACGCCGGAGTGTTGCGTGGACCGTGGTATCAAAGCGGGCCAACTTGAAGAGCAAATCGATTTGCCGCCTGTGCGATTTGCAAGTCGTCGGCGAGTTTGTCAAGACTCGGCTAGAGCGAGCGAACGAGTGGTCTTGAGCTAAGAAAAAGAATTGTCGAGGAAGATGTTCCGACGACAAGCCGTAAGCTTTCTTTGGGTGGGGCTTTGCTGAGATGTATCATGATATCATCAGGTCTGTGCTCTTCCGGTGGAAAGCAAACTCTCCGGTAAAATCTCAACTTCAGCTCAGCTCAATTCACCATTACGTGAGGTTCAATGGCATTTGTGTATCAATCCGTCGAAGGTAGTCTCAGTGAATTGCCGATTATTGAACTTTTTGTCATGAAGGTCCACTTCACTGCTCATAGGCCGCTCAATCTCAGACAAGTGATATGGAATCGAGTCTCTCCTCAAATCCCACATACACACAACTCCTCCAAAGGATGTGTGGTCTTACGACTTCCCTCAGTCGCCTCCTCTCCTCACTCTGTACTTTAGCGAAAAGGAACTAATCAGCCTCATCCTGCGCCATAGACTGATACGATGCCTTACTGTACAACTAAACCTTTACATTTCTTCGTCATCTAGACCAATTGGGACAATGCTTTTAGACTCGAAATTATTTCCTAGCCAACCATTAACATCACATTCTGTGTGGATCGAGGCAAATCTTCCTCTGCTGAAGGTTGCACTACGCTCTCTAATTCCTCTTATTGGAAGTCAGCCTTCTAAACTTCGTCCTTTCGTTGTGACAAGTCCTCAGAAGCTGATCTGATACTCTAAGCTCGATCACTTTTTCTTACAGCGTATCACCTCAGAAACACTCCGCAGTGGGGAAGTTCATTGTATGCGTACTATAATAACCTATATTTCGTGGACTCAATCAAGTTAAAAGAACCCCCCAATAGCATTCTCTCGACATTAATAAGATATATCACATCGCTCTTTACATAGCATTCCACTCGCCGCTGGCCTTCCGAACGGCAGAAGGAATTCTCTCTTGGGGTCCAACTCAGGTTTAGATACCATACTCGTAAGTCGCTGCAACTGAATCCAATGTCCAAATACTTCGAGAAGTTAACTTTTGCGTCCCTACTCAGAACACAAGATAACTTCTCAGCACAGGTGAATAGCCTCTTGCTACATAACGACTTCAACTGCCTTGGCACGTTTCAAGAGGGCTGATCGGACGGTCAAGGGCGGAATCGGGTTTCGCCATTTTCTGAACTTTGACCTCTTGAACAGAATGGTTGGGTTGTAAATCATTTTTGGGTTCTTCATTCGCCATGCTTCAAAACAATCGATTACATCTCAACTATAGCTTCACAGGGATATATACTGATCATGTCTTGTTCACTTGCATTTACTCCGCCCCTAAAAGCAAACCCTTCACACTAGCTCTGATAGTAGTCTTGACATTCTTAATGATTGTTGGCTTCATGCTCATCATTTATGTGTCAATTCAAAACCAAAAGTTGGATGAAACCCTCACCAAAATTTTACAGATCACTCAAAGGACAGATCGGTTACTCAACTCCAATCAAGTTCTTACATCGGCCAGAAGCCCAACTGCAACTGATCGTCACCCACCTGCCTCTTATCCATCAGTCTTAACTCAAGAACTCAATTCTCCAAATTTAGTTTTACAAAATTTCTATCGATCATCAAACTTAGATGCTGCTCAATCTCGGTCTCATTCAACAAATCGTGCCCACAGCTCAGCTAGTTTTCCGTTTGTAAAGAAGCATCCGAAAAGTCACCGTTTTTCCCTCTCGCATTCACCTAATGTCTCGAGGATGTCTCACTACCCAAAATCATTTCAACCTGATCGTTCATCACATTCGAAAGACCAAGAGCACATTGTAGATATTCCAGACAACCCATCAGAGAATATCCTCAGAGATTCGCCTTCAACTCGTGACCGACCAGGCAGTTTACCTGCTGTACCCGAGCGATCACGCCTTTCAAGTCTTATCCGACAAAGTCATCCTCATATTATTCTTGCTCATGCTTCCGACCCGGTATTGTCGACTCGGCCTTAAGTCTTGAACCCCTGTATGCCACGGGTATACGTTCTCTATCAGAACCATTATTCCCATGAATGATGTTTATGTATTTATGCGCGACAAGCAGGCCTGGAAGCCTACTAGATACCTAGATATTTCCACATGTGAAACATCTTGATGACATTGAAACTCCCAATGAGGCCAAAAAATATGCTAGAAGATTTACATTCTATAGGATTTTTTTTTGATGATAAAGGATTTCAATTTTTGGAAAGTTGTGATTGAGATTCGATATGTTTAATTAGTTCTCTTAGATTTATTGATATAGAAAAGTTTCATAAGATTAAAAAGGCTAACAGAAGGAGTATCATGGTTGTTTTGATCATTTAGATTTAGAGAAAGGTGTACTATTTTAATGCAAATGTTTAGAACTCAACTGGTTGACTCTATAGATGGGATCTTGCCTCCATGTTTGCATGCTCCATCTTGCACTCTTTCCCAGAAGTTGAAGGGTTATGTTTTCTGTCTATGTTTATTGTTTGTCATCATTGTTTGTTTAATTGCTACTAGGCCATTGCCTTTTTTGAAGGTTTACGGCCCGGTTGTGGGGGGGTAGAGACTGTGGACTTCCTGTTGTGGGTGGGAGCAGTTGGTCTGGCCCAGGAAAACTCATTCTGGTAGAAAAAGTACTCTTCCTTAGAGTCATCACTAACTGTACAGGAATCTGCTCTCTGATGACCATCAAGGCTCCTAACAGGCACATGCTTATAAGGTGGATGCTTGCAACCCAGGAATACCAGCCTTATATGACAGTATTACACATAGACCTGATAAAATGCATAACAATGCATATGGATTGAGTAGAATGGATTACCTAATGATGGATCTAATCCAGCATGAGAACCTGAAGAAGTACAATTAGATATTACAGTGATGACCTGAAAGTACTTCTATGTAGGTCACTAGCCTGGGGTTGAGAGTTTTTCTACTTGGGGGAAGTAGAGCAAACAGAAAGGAAGTTATACTACTCAATTTTAGTCAGGAAGATTCTTGAAGTAATCAAGCAAATCACTAGTCTCATATTTATAAGACTCTTAATTATATATTTCAAACTTATCTTAAATTGGTTCTTCAAAAGTGACATGTAATAAAAGCTTGGGGGATTCTGTTTGAAGACTGAGAGAGGGGAGGTTTAGACACTCTCTTCTCAAAAACACAATTGTAGTGATATTTGTCTATATCACTACAATGGTTCACTGACTTATTATTAATTACTAACATAATTACTAGTTACACTTATTTACATATAGGTGTGTAAAGTATATTATGCACCATAAGAATTTTTGCTTGTTATGAGGTTAATCATTGATATATTGCATATTAGGGGGTGTCAAGTTGAAATTTTTACAACAAAAAAACAACATGGGAAAATTTCTATCTTTCAACTGTAAAAAACCTTTCCCGTGGTTGCATGATAACCAGTATGGCATGATTGGTGTTTCTTTTTTACTTTTTTGCCTTAGTCTTGGACCCAGTAATAAGAAAATTGCTGGTAAGAGGATGTAAGGTTGTCCTTGTAGCCCTGTCAAGCCCACCTGTTTCCAAGAGTGAAACCATCAAGGTGAGCTCTTTGATCATATGTTGTAAACTGATCTGTTTATGTGATTACAAGAATGGAATACATAAAAGCTTTCCCATGCGTGTAAATTTTATGTAAATTTATGCTACAACAGGAAAGTGTTTTACAGTAAAAATCATACAAAACTCAAACTTGATCCCCCTTATTGCATGTTGTTTCAAGTGTCCATATATATGTAATAGTGTTTGTATATGTTTTAGCACACCTTAAATATATATTCTAGGATTCATTTACATATAATTAGGTTCTATATATATTGTTTATATATATCAAGTTAGTCTTTGGATACATACATATGTAATCAGGGCTGACACCAAGTATCTTGCTTTTAATTCAGGTGACTAATTGAGATCCATTTTCAACACTTTATGAATAGTGAGGAAATTTTTCTCTTTGAGGTTTTAGGTGATGGGTTTTTCAACAAGCCAGGAAATCAAAGTGATTGTACATGACAGCTTCAGTTTTATTAAGAAAGATGGTTGGATCAGCAATTGATGAGTTCAAGCATAAACTTCTGATGCTTGTCAGTAATAAACTGTTGAAGAAACTTGTTGTTCATACAATAGGTTGCAGGATTGCATATAACCATACAAGTATGAATGTACAAAGTGTTCCAATCCAAAGACATTTTTTTGCATATTGTGGTAAGGAGTTCATTGTTAATTGATTCAATGAATTGTCCAGATCAGAATTTGGTCAACACAAGGGCTTTGAGCTGCACACTGTACATGATCACAAACCACATGACTCACAAAAAAATGTTCAGGAAATAATCAAACTGATGGATGTGTGAGTGACTGTAAAGGATGTGGTAGTGCAATGATGGTGAGTGACTAGATCAGTCTGACACAGCAACAGTTTACCCTGATCACCAATGCAAAGGCTAAGGGCCCTTTGGGCTGGAACCCAAAACCGGTTTTTGGTCCAAAACACCACCAAAGCCAAAAACTGTTTTAGGGTCAAAGCAGTTTTTGATTTTCATCAAAAACACCAGCGTTTGGCACCTTCATTTGATCAAAAACAAAAACCATTTTTGATCTAAAAGTCTTCAATTTTGAAAAACCGCCCTGAGGCTGTTTTTGAAGGGTCTTTGCCCTCATTTGCCCCTCTATCTCAATTCTTTGATGAGCTCTTTGGTTGAGTGTTTAGTAATTGTATAATCAAATTTCAAGTTTTTATTTCTACCCCATGAAAAAGGGGTAGATTGAAAAAGTGTTTTTGTGTAACAATTTTTGGCTAAACCAGCCAAACGGGCCTTTATACTTTCACCTGTATATATGTGCAAAGAAAATAAAAAACTTTTGATTGACCAAGCTAATCTAGCTTGACTGTATAATGACTAGACCATAGCCAGGCCTGCCTATTAACCAGTTTGTGTTCCCACTGGCACAAATCTCACACATCAATTCCTCAACTCTCACTACATCACAACAATTTTTTCACATCATTAAGGCCCTTGAAGAAACACACAAACAAATCTATAGGAAAGATAAAGACATTTCAGCATCAATTGGATTAATGAGATGTAAAGGTATATATAGACTCACCAAAAACAATGTAAACCGTATCTCAGTATTCAAAACAAAATCCCATAGTACTAACAAACCAATGCTTTTTGTGCATATTAAAGGGATAGATTGTTAAAACATATAATGTGAACTAAAGAGTTAGAAAAAGTTTTTCAACTATGTATGCATGGTTTCAACAACCCTGGTCCAGCAATACAGCTGTTGTGTGCTACACTGCTGGTGCATTGCAGAATTCACACACCGCAATGTTGCACAAGATTTATAAAAGTCTTGCAGGCCACCCCAAAGTGCAACAAAGCCCTTGGGATTGGAGAATTTTTCCAACCACAACAGCACTTGTTGTGTTGTGGTCTACAAAAGCACTGGTTTTTATGGTTTTTTCACTGCTGTTGCACAACAGGTGAGCCGGCGCCCAACTTAGCTTACCTATCTTGTGTTGTGATGCTAAGAGCAACATGACACAGGTTATGGTATGTATGCTACATGTTGCGGAGCAACATAGCTGGAAATGCCTTTGTTGTGCTGCGCTGTGTTGCTCGCACAGGGTTGGTTTCAGCCCAGGTTTGAGATTACACTTTATGGCAAAATACAACAAAAAAGTCACAAACACATCTTGGAATAAACATTTTTGACAACATTTCTACTTTCAAATCTGAAATGAAACTTTTGATCAGAAATCAGGAAGTGGTACTGAAACATAGCATTTAATGTTTTAGGTAGAAAATCTTGATTTCAATCAAGAATAAAGTGCTCAATGGGTTATATCAGTGTTTGGTCTTGAATAGTAGTCAGATGTTGTGTTAAAGAAAAGCACAAAGGATAGGGGTTAGACCTATGGCCCTATCAGGAAGTCTTTTGAGAGAGTGTATGTACAACAAAATCCAAGGAGGCAAAAGATGTGAACAAAGAGGGTGAGAGAAGGAATTGATCCCCCATCATTTGATGCTACACATGGCTGTACTTCAGTAAGTCAGAAGTGGAAAGTGAAGAGAGCACAGTTGATCACCATCCCAAACCCCTGAACCCATGCCATCATCATGAAAGACTTTCAAAGATTTCAAAGGATTATTCCAAAATTTAAGAATAATTAATCTAAAAAATTACAAAAATGAATTGATTTGATCATTATTTTTTCCATTGTTTCATTCATTCCACCACCACCACCAACAAACAAACAAACAAAACAGTTACTAAAAAAATGTTTTTTTTTTGCGAAACTGACAAATGAGAAAAAAAATCAAAGATGATATAAAAACAAAAAACAGAATGATTTGAAATGAGATTTTGAAAATGAATTTAAAATTGATTTTTTTTTTAGAAATAATATAAAATGATTTACTTAATTAGAAACGATGTGATTATTTTTTTTTCTACAAAACTTCATTAATCAAAACTTGAATACATTTAACAAAAACAAAAAAAAACAAAAGATAAAAGGTAAAAAGAAAAGATAAAAAGAAAAATTAAAAAAGAATTAAAAATTAAATAAAATACAAGAAAAGTATTAAGAAACTAACAATGAGGGAACCCCCCCGACGATTTGATATCAAAAAAAACAATAAGGAAACGTTACGATTCATAAAAGAAAAAAATAGGATCATCAAAACCATGAAAAGAAAGGAAGAAAAAAAAGCGACTCAAGAATTAATAATAGTCGTTGGACGAGATCTAGTTCTACCACGATAAAACTCATTACTTTCCAACGAAAGATTATCATTCTCCACCGATTCATTGATAAGAGACTTATGACTCATAACCAGATGATCAATCGTATTAGGTTGTTGATCGATCGAATGAGAATCCGAACCACCTGGAAAGACTTGACAAGAGTTTAATGAATAAAGATCTTCGTTTGAAATTGAAACGTCTTGAGATAATCGATGATGAAAGTTTTCTTCTTCTTGGAAGCTGATGGGAGAAGCTATGAAGGTCGAAGCAGATGTTCGGTTCAAAGGTTTACAGTAACATTGGTGGTCTGGATTAAGGTCTAATGGAGTGGATTTCGATCTGACTTGATGATCGTGTACTGATTCATTGGAATGATCATTAAAATCAAATAACGAAAACCTTTGACGATGGTGAATAGGAGGTAAAGAAGCCGACAAATAATTCGAATCGGTTCGACGATTCAACCCAGCATAATCTTCACGAATCGATTTCATTTCATGATTCGAACTTGAGCTTCTTGAATGATTCGAATGTGATTGAGAGTTTTTCAAGATAGGTGAGATGGTATGAGGATGACGTAAGTTTGGGATCGAATGATGATCTTGGGTTGGAAGCAAGACAGGTTGAGTGATTTGAGTTTTGATAGGTAAAGGAGTCTTGAGATGACCATGAATCGTTAAAGGTGAGATTGGACTTTCAGGATTAATCGAAGATGGTTTAACAGTTGTATTCAAAGACAAAGTACCCAAAGTAGGTAAAGCATAAGTTAAGGGGGCCATCATTGTAGGATGATCAGTTTGAATACATTTCAATTCGGTCGAAAGTTTCTTGGTCGAACTACCACAATAAGTGATATTGGATTCTCCTGAATCGATCTCATGATGGTTTGATGGCATTGAATGAGGTGATTTCGAACTAAACAATCTACGAATCTCTTTTCGAAAAGGTGGATGACACATCAAGAATGCCATGATTGAGAATAACAAAAACGAAAGTCCTGCAATGATAGCATAAAGTGTTCCAATATATTTACTACGATCGCTTTGATGGGTTATACTGATCCTGTTTTTGAGATGCAATGTGTTTTGGATTAGTTTTATGAAGTGAAGTTGAGATGAGATAAGAAAGAAAGAGGTTAAACTGACTGATTAGTTGAGAATTGATCTGTTGTGTTGGACATGATATATCCTTTTCATGAGCTATATGATTTATTGATTTAAACAAATCCAACTTTGATGAAAGAATGGTATTCCAGTAGTTTTCTAGTGAGTTTTGATGATTGGTATGTTGCAGTCGAGTCGTAATGCAGAAAGCTTGACAAAGTTTTGGGTGAATTTGTTTGAGTGTTGGGTGAGTATGATGGTATGATGATATGATAAATCGATCGAATTGATTTTTTGTTTTCTGTTTGATTTATTTTTAAAATTTATCAAATCAGTCTTGAGTCTTGGCTCTTTCTCATTTGAATTTATATAATATTTTTCACCTGAAACCTTAAATTTAATATGTCATGTGTGTACCTCATGATAGAACAGAAAAAAACAAATGTACACAAGTATGCGAACAGACAAAGAAGCTTCGTACCGGCCGGTCTTCCGTGCCGGCGCCGGAACCCCTCCCCGGAATCAGGCCGGCATCCAAAAGGAAGCCAAAGTGAAAGAACTGCTTTAGCTTTACATAAATTAACGCTCATCAATTCTACCTCCTAGGAAACAAATTTGTTCCTTTCTATATTTATCCAGACCATCAATATCAAAGAGATACAAATTGAAAACATTACACACCTATGCAGTTTAACAAGCTCATCATCGGTCGGTGGATCGGTCGGGAATATTTGATAAAGAATCATGCTTCATCTCGGATTGATCAATTCCGATTTCTACACTTGACTACACATATTTTAAAGTTCACTACTGGTGGAATCTGATCAAGCTAAGAAAAACTTTTGCGATTGATCATCAAAGCTTTCGATACATATTCAACTTTTACACTAAGTGAGATTTCGACCGGACAGCTGCATAAAAGATTTAAGAAACCTTTTGAATTTTGAATTGTACATACGAGCCGATATGCCGTGCTCAAGGCTCATAACTTGCTATTCTTGGAAATATCACAAGATGAAATATGTAGAACAAAATCTGCTGCAAGCGTGCAAAATTCTGACAAATTTCAACACCTAAACCGCTTCGCTGTGGTTGCCAAAGGCGTTGCGATTTCGAAGCAATTCTAGGCACCACTCTAGAATTCTAGCTGCACACATACACCACGGAGCGACTTTTGAGCGCGAGACGGGTGCCAGGCGAAGGTGAGTCGCCGAGTGGATTTCACTCGGTGGTAGTGTGAAATCAACTCAGCGGAGAGCTGCGTGGTGACCACCGTATCGGTCATCACGTGGCTGTGACAGAATTATTGCCCTTGTGACCATCACGCTGCCGCCACCTCGCGAACTCACAGAACCTGGACTTACGCTCGCCAGGTGGTGCTCCTCATGCTCACCACCTCGGCTCAAGTCGCGGTACAACCACCTCACTGACAGGTTGAATCCATGGTTGGGCAACCACATCAACACGTGAGCCTTCAACTTGGTTAAAGATGGCCGTATTGTGATTGAGATGAGTGTCACATGATCATCATTCTAGAACATTCACTGTGATATGACGTCATGAATGACATCATTTGATTATTTTTCTTTTTTCAAAAGTTTTGTTATGCAGCTGTTTCAAGAAAGGTTGACAACTTTTTGCTGGAGAAAGTTGTCTCCACAGCGACCGAAACCAAAGACAAAACTTGATTACAGGTTTATTATTTCCTGTATTCTGCCAATTAGCGGAGAGACAAAATCAAGTGAGGGACAAAACTCAGGTTTTGCACATTGGCGAGATTTTCAAAAAAATCAATCTTTGTTGGAACAGCTGTAAATTTACAGGATACAAAGTAGAAGCCGGGCACGTGCCTGGCTTTGTGCCCAGATTTTTTTTGGCAGCAAATTTGAATTCTGGGCCGGGACTTTTGCCCAGAAAATCGAAATTTACTGCCAAAATAATTCCGGGCACGAAGCCGGGCACGTGCCCGGATTCTACTTTGTATCCCGCAGTTGATCACCTTTGAGATCTCATGATACAGTCGATTTCAGAAAGCTTGGAAACTTTTGCCCGCCAAACTTGAGCAAATTGGTGCGGAATTCTTACCAAGCTTTGTGAAATTGACTGTACAACTTCCCCCCTCTCAACACTTCTTTTACTTATAAACATCACACCTCCATCTTTCCCAACTTATTCTCTCTCTTCTATCTGGATCATACACAATCCATCCAATAGACTATCAAATCCTTTTCAAACCAACTACACCCAAACCTTTAGTTAACTACACCTTCAACTCAAAATTGATTTCATTATAGATCGGTCAATGCTTTGCATCGTGTTTACTGATATTCATCTTTTGCAACTGATATCATGGAGTGCTTGAGAAAACACTTCTCCATCTGTTCCTACATTGGTTTTAGCACAATACCATCTAAATTTGCATCAAAGTCCTGCCTTTGTTCATTTGTATCAGTAGTTTGGTTATTTTTTGTTTTATGTTGTTGAGGGAACTGGATGCAACAGGCGCTTTGTAGGCAATTTTTGAGTTGTTTTTGAGTCATTTTGCTCCTGGCCAATCCAAATTGGATTGGTTAGGAGCTTTTTTGGGCTTATGTGGTGAGCTCCACCACATTGCAGTCACGTGGTGACCAGGTTAAGACCTTAGTACATTTGGCCAAGGTATGCTCACCTGGTTGTGGAACACATTGTTACACTGTGAGGACCACATCATACCCACAAGAAGGGAACGAGGTGGGCTTTTTTTTGCTCCGTGGTGTACATATACCAAGAGTGAAAAAAACCCGTAGCAGCAAAACTGTGGCGTAACAAGTCAGGATTGTGCTATATAGCAGAAATGAAGAGCTTTCTGGTTTGATTGAAATTTATCAAGTGATTGTTCTTATCACTGCAAACATTAACACTACGCAAAATGTAATCTTTACCGGGCGGTAAAGAAAACTACTGACATAGAAAAATCCTGAGGCAACAGGAAGAGAGCTAAAAATCTGAAAAAATATGCACCTTGTTCCTAGATGTTGGGGTGTCATGATGAGTATTTTTTTGTATTTTACACACAGATATTGGTTAGTGTACTTACCATAAAGGCTGAAGATCATCAAAAACCCACCTGTAACAATACCTGAAATTTGGGTCATGATCATGAAGACAATATTTTGTGGTCTAAAAACTTCAACAACTTCTGCAATTCTGCTCCAAATAACTCGATTTTTGGCTCAGTCAAAAGCTGAACCATTCTCCTTCACACTTCATAAAGGTAGTAAGGTGTTATTTAGTCATGTAAACGCTCTACATATGCTCAAACAGTTCTGCATGAATTGCTCTGTAGGATCTTTTGTAGACCGGCTACAGATGTGATGTCTCAATGATAAATGTAAAGGAAAGACTCACCTTTTTGATGAACTTAAAATCGAGTGATTTGATTCAGAACTGCAAAAGGTATTGATGTTTGAAGATTTCAAAATCCTCTCTTCAGAATCATGGGCCAAATTTCAGGTATGTTACAGGTGGGATTTTGATGATTCTAAGCCTTTATTGTTAGTACACTAACCAATATCTGTGTGTAACCTCCAAACACATACTCATCATGACACCCCAACATCTAGGAACAAGGTGCATATTTTTTCAGATTTTTAGCTCTCTTCCTGTTGCCTCAGGATTTTTCTATGTCAGTAGTTTTCTTTAACGCCCGGTAAAGATTACATTTTGTGTAGTG